TTGATGCCACTTTCTTTATACTCATTCTATATTAAGAGAAAAGTATATCGTATTTGTGATTATAATTGCATAATTAGGAGCATCATTTTATAGTTATATTGCTATAATGTTAATAATAACCTTATATGTATAGTTCTATCAACCCGTACAAAAATTGTACTATAAATTATGATAATTTCAAATATTAATGTAGTAAAATATAAAAATATGTATGATAAATAAAATAATCATTTTATGTGATAATTGCAATCATAATTATAATGAATTTAATCATTTTTTCAACATTCATTTACTATAATAAGCACTCGTTATTTGAAAGATATGTTGGCGTAGTTTCTACATATAAAAAGGCGATTCATGATACTATATTGATGATAATGTCAAAAAATATTCAAATACTGTTCACTTCATTTGGTCGACAAAAAAATGAAAATAAGAAACTGAATTTTAGTAAAACAAAGATATATAGCTTACTATGAATACACATCTTATTACAATTTATGTAATTATTTAATTATTTATATATATTTACTTAAAATTTATTTATATTCAAACACATAAATGAAAAAATGCCATATTCGATCGAAGCAAATTTTAGTGCTCAAATATTTTACTTATTTGAATTTATATACCTTCTGATTCTGCATATCGTGCGTCAAAAATTTTTTGATTCGAAAACGCATTATATGAGCAGAATAATAATATCGCTTTTATTAAATTGTATAAGCAAAATAAGATTTGAGCATTAAGATTCGTTTCGAATAATGGCATTCTTCATTGAATGAAAAATGCCATATTTAATTGTGTTTTAAGTTTTAATCTTATCTTATTTATTTCCTTTGTTTATTTCTATTCTACAAATTAATATATTTTATAATATAAAAATTATTTATAGAGAGATCTTTATAAATAAATTTGGTATTCAGGAGGAAAAAAATATTATTCATTCATAAGCTGTTGATTTTCTGGAACAATTAATCGATGCGGAATCCATAAAGAAAGATCTGAGAGAGACAATGCAAACAAGACAAATACGAATGTGTAAACATTTTTATACGTATAAAAAAAGTATTTCAAGGGTTTATGTTTAATGGTAATAATATACATATTTACAATATGTTTCAATAATAAATAAAATAAATATTTTAATGCACAATGCTTGTTTATTTATTATATTCTTCTAATATAGTTGCGCGTATATTCGAAATTTATATTGCAGTATCAATAACTCTTATTAATAAACAGTTATGAAATTAATTTCAGATTTTTATTATGCAATACTGAGGCCTTACTCATGACAAATACGGAAAATCATATGATATAATTTATAAATATGTGATAATAACATAAAGTATAGACAACATAAATTACGCTAATTGATAACTAGCGTTGATTCCTATCGCTTGTACTTTATTATTATCATATGTTTCTAAATTGTTCAATTAAAGGAATCTATAAAAAACTTATTAGTTTTTTGTTAGTTTGTAATTTTTCATATAGTATACTTATGTAATATATATTACAGTTTTTCATATATATATATGATATTTAAGAATAAGTCTTCAGATCTAAACAGTATCAAAAATATTAATATTGATTCTCAATACTATAATAATAATAATACTGTACCAAAAATCTATACTATTTATATTATCTAAAATTAAATAATATAGATTGTAGATATATATTGTAGATTTTTGGTACAGTATTATTACAGTATTGAGAATCAATATTAATATTTGTACTGAACTTGGTATTGTTTCGGTCCTATATACTCCCATGTAATCCCATACTGCCATAGTAATAGAAACAATATCGATATTTGATATGCATTTTTGCTGTTACGATCATTGTGTACAATAATCTCGTACTGTATCAAGAATCAATAATATCAAGAATCAATATATCGATATTTGATACAATGTATATACTGATTTTTGGTATTGTTACAATATTGTACATCTTGTACTGTAATAGTACTGTATTATGAATCTTGGCCAGTTGCTATCATCCTAGCATTTCTCAGATACCATATCAGTACTGGTATTCAATATCGCGTCGGTACTAAATACTGAAAATTGAACCAATACTTCGCTGGTATTTAATTCCTACTTAGGTATTTACATACTTAGGTATTTGGTAACAATAAATAGCTAAAAAATATATTTTAAAAAAATGGAAAACCAATCATTTTCAAATAGTTGTGTGTGTGTGTGTGTGTGTGTGTGTGTGTGTGTGTGTGTGTAACTACAATATATTAATAACACATTCAATTGTACTTCTAATTATAAATTTAATTGATCAAATTTACTATACGTATTATCAAAATTAAAAAGAAAATTGTAAAAGTAATTATTTGCACTAAATGTTTGGCAACACTATACACATATTGGAAAAAACAGATTTGGTTGAATTAACTGAAATTGTGGTGGATGATGAACGATCTATTTTAATTAATTTTAATTAATTTTACTAGATTTCTGGTTAAATCTATCAGAATTCTGATTGAAATAATCAATTCTCAATTTACTAGAATCTAACCTTCTATCAATTTAAATTTAACTAGAAATCTGATAAACTCAACTAGAATTCTGGATCGTTCATTTTCCATCGCAATTCCAGTTAATTCAAAATATTTTTTTTCCATGTAGCAATAATATATTTGATCACATTTACATAAATAATAATTTATTGTAACATTTTTCTTAAAAAAAAAACTATAAGAATAAGAATTATATTATAGTCAAAGCTGGTCACACATGTTTAAAAATAAAATATGTAATACTCAGATCGCAGCGAAACGAAACACGCCACGGTCGGACGATCTCTCGAGACTAAAGACAATCACTTTGTCATTATCATTTTCTAACTATGTTAATAAATACCAGCATATTATTTCGTTTCCATGTAATCTCTTCAAATATTAATAATATTAAATTGGTAGCAAAGGATGAAATTAAGAATGGTTACAGTAGGAAGTATAAGTATAACGTTGACAATGTCTCGATCACAAGCATGCGATTAGCTCAGCGTAAATGTATTAAACTATCATTCTAAATATAAATCTCGTAGATTCAAATCTTACTGACAAGCGATGCGTTTTTTAATAATTAATTGTAGTTAATAAGAATATAGGTATGCAAAACAGTAAATAATAAATTGAGATGGAAAAATAAAAAGTAATAATAACAAAAAAATTATATTTTATATTTAAAATTATATATTCGTTAAGATATATCTTCGTTAAGATATATATTTTTTTATTACGTAAAAGGAATTGTTTGGTCACAATTATTTCGTTTAAAACAATTAATAATTTGATTATATTTGTCATATGATTTCGTAATAATCATCTAACTTTGCTACCAATTTTTAAATCTTAGTAGTAATAGATGAGTCTACTTTTAATTATGTTTATTATTACAACATTTTATAATATAATTTATTATATGCAAATACGATTTATGTGTAAGATAACCATACAATGTAATTGAATGAATGCATATAATATTATGGTCATAATTAGTGTTCAGATTACTATAATTCATTATAGTCAAAATATTTATAAATTTATGGTTGTCTAAAAAATGACAATAAATTATAGTTAAATTATGGTTATTCCAATCATTTTTTTTTCTCAATATTGTTAAGAATAGTAAATCATACTTCCGGAGAAGTATTGATTCATAACCGTCGTCGAATCGAAGAGAGTAAGAATCTCTCGACTTTCGATGTCTGTGGTCGCATCGACACCATATGTTAGCGTGTAAAAGCCATTGCTCTATTCTCGCAAAAATCGACTAATAAAAAGGTAACTCGTCGACCTTCGATATAGTCTATGCTTCGCGGCGACTGGTTCTCTATCTCTTTTCCACTGCTACTAGGTCTCTCCCTGTCTCTCCCAGTTTTTCTTCTCTTTCTTTCTCTCATTGCACACCGCGTGTGTGTACGTGTGTTCGTCGCTCTGCCAACTTTCACGTATCATAATATATAGTGAAAGAATGTGGTTTCCCTTTCAAATTACAAAATATGCCACGAGTGTGCAGTTCAGTACACTTCCTTTTCTTTAATTTCGCCTTTTTTTTACGTTATCTCGATAAGTTTTTAAATTTTTTCAATCGTCTACTTTTGAAAGCAACATGCAATTAGTAATCGAAAGTAACAATAGATCAACTTTTAGAAGCAAATGAAAAGGAAAAAATTTTGTAACTTTGCGTTTACGTCTGTCGCTAACCTAATGTCTCTTGTATTCGTTTCTTTGACTTGAAATCTGAATTTTCTTCTTCAGTCTTTTTTTTACGCCTTCATTCAAAAGTACATCCTATTGAAACATGAGGCTCTAAAAGTTTAAACTGGAAAGGACAGTGCTTGGGACCGAAACCTTGATTGAGATATTACATTGCCACGGCGCGCGTACAATCGGTGCGCAGTTTTATTATTAAAGAAGGACTTGACCCAGATTTTATCGGTGAGAAAAAAAAGATACCTAGGCGATCCATCCTGAATGTCTGTCTGACATCTTTGTCGAGCGGCGCATTATTGCCTCTGGCGACGATTTGTATCATCTTTCATGTTATTAATTTAGACAAGAGGGATGGATTTATGTGGGTTGTGACTAACTGGGTCAGGGACATCCGCATGGGTTTACGCGTATAATGTATATTATAGTCAGGTTATTCGGATTCATATTTCCTTATGATGAAAGATATATGTATGTATATGCTTTATTTATTCCAGATAAGTAATAGTATTAACAAGACTAAATTAATAGTTTACTGTGTATGTTTAACAGTGTAAACGTGTTTTACAAATATGAGCGATTACGCGAGTTACATTATGAGCGGTAATTTGTTATACATAAACGATAAAATAACCGTGTAAAGTGTATACGGCGGATTTTAAGCGATTATTATTTTCTTTACTTCGCTTTTTTGCATCATGTAATCTTTCAGATAATTGATGAAGAAGAAAGGAGATATTCATATTAAAATTATGGAAGATTATTCTATGATTGTTGTTTGGATTTGTTGATTTAAAAAATGTTAAATGTTTTATTGATAATAAAAACGTATGTTTTTAGCGTAATTTAAGGATATTTTGCGGGCAACAGGCTCACAATTTCTTCTGAATTTTTCCACTGTAACTGTCATGGCCACCCTTTGTCTCAACCTCAGTACTTAATACTGTCTCGAACAGCCGCAAAACAACGCCACTTGTCCGGTAGGTAGAACGATTCGAAGATATGCGGGAAAGGACAGTCCCATCCTGTGACCCTTTGAATCGGTGCCTCCAGATACAGGAAGCACTCCATCTGCATTACAATTTGACAATGCAGTCAGAGTAACTTAGTGATTCAGCCCACGATTAGTTTTACAGCTTTTCTGTCGTGCAACTTTCTAATTTATAAGAATCGATATCGATTAATTCGCGAACAACAAGGAGACTTGAGATGCAAGACTAATCACTGTTAAAAACTGGTTTGGAGAACTGTTAGGCGTTGTAACATTACCATCCCACGCGTCATTTTATCTCGCTGAAGACTTCCGACTCAAACAGTCCTCACGCGCTGCCTATGTTAGAATCACGCGATAGATCTGATGGCTGTTGCGTAAAATAGTGTCTACAATTTTTTATAGAGATTTTAAGCTTTAAGTTTTAAGAAATTAATCAATCACACGCCGGTATTTATAGTTCTTAAGAACGAACTACTAACTCTCTTAATATCTTAAGAAATTAATACTTTTGATTGATTCATGACATTAAGACTGTTTTAAAACTGTTTTACTTAAGACAGTTTTAAATATAGAGAATCGACTATGAATACCTATCATAATCGATTTGTCTTCTTGCAATCAAATGTAAGTTCGAATCCAGAATAGGTGTTTTAAGCCTTAAGCCGTAAGAAATTGATCAACTACAGTCGAATAGGAGGAGAATAATTGATTGGGGTTGTGTGTCCATTTCTTATGATTTAAGGCTTAAAAATCTATTGTAGATCCGGATTGAATTCCTTACGATTTGAGGCTTAAAGCTTACTCTCTTTTAAAGTGAGTTATTACTCTATAAAGAGTGAAATGTGTCATTCCTAAGATTAAAAAATTGAGGTTTTTCAAGATTAGCTTAATTTTCATTCTGTAGAGAGAGAATTTAGAGGGTAAATTTTACTTACTCTCTTAAAATCTTATTGTAAACACCGTATTAGATATTTTTATTTTATCATAAGACGCAAAAAATCTGAAAACTCTACGATGTGAATCCGTGAATACGTTACCTGAATCGTCGCAGCTATTTCTGCCCCGAATCCATTCGTCATCGGCGCTTCGTGGGCGATGATAACGCGTCCGGTTTTCTTCACTGACTGTAACATTCAAACATATAATACATCGTATCATGCATATATGGTAATTTATTATTGGTCTCTAGCCGCCGCGGGTTTAATTCGCATGTGATTTACATCCCGTCCCACATTGCGGTACAATAATAACTTCACATGCACGGCCGATGCCATGCGCTAAACGGGCGCATTAACGACGTCGCTGATGACGGCATGAACCGTTTTGTAACAGCTATCAAATGCGGGTTTACGACGTGATCGACGTTGTAGAAATATACACCGGAACAGCCGGTGCGATCGGGACACATAGGTACATCTATGCCCCTTTTGTGCGCATATATGTGTGCATGTATGCCCGTCCTGTAAATCATTGACAAAGGTAACTAGACAGATAAGCGCGACTGAACGCTGAATACAGGTTCCTATGACATTTTCGATTCGCGCCGACCTTCCCTGCAACTTTCAGGAGTTACAATCTTTCGTTACGGATACACCCCGCAGAAAATCTACGTCTCTATATTTATCGGATTGATATTTATGGATTTCTGCATGTCTACTATTAACCTTTATTAATAGGCGTCTTACTGTCACGATAAATGTTTGAATTATTACCCCTTCCTTTAATGTTCAATCCCTTTCAAATGTCTAAGGAGAATAACATCAATTGACTTTGCGTTTACAATGCTTAGGAAATCGACAACACTAATTGCATCTCTCCCTTTTACTTATTAAGTGTGACAAGATATTAAAAGAAGGATATTTTATTATATACTTAATCTGATGTAATATATTACGTAAATAATAATATTTATTTTTTCAAGAAGCTGGGCATTTTTGTAAGATATAAAAAATTATTGTTATTAAGTAATTGTAATTGTTGCTATTATATATTCCAAAATTCATTGCTATTGAAAATCTGCACGTAATATAAATTATAGATTTTCAGAGCTGACAGTGAATTGGAACATAGCTTTAATAACGATAATTTTTAATGGCAAGTTTAATTAATAGTGGCGAACAGGAGCCTTAAAATAAAAATTCTGATTGGGACTATTTGAATTGAGTTGATGATTAATCACGCGATGATTAATAATCCAATATTTCATACTTTCGTGTTTATGAATCATTCATTTTTAACCCTTTGTTAGCTAACAATTGGGCTCATTCAATTATAAATTTTTTTGTCAAAAATGTTTACAATTTTCTTTATCTCAAAGAAAACAAGAAAATCAAGATATAATATATTTCATATGAACTGAATCATGACAAAAAATAAATTCGATCAATAATTGATCAAAATGACATCAAATTAACATTATTTTGTCTTTCTTGTTCTCCTTAGGATATTACATCTGCAAAAGATAATTCTTAAAATATATTTACAATTAGTACTTATTAATTCTTTTTTATATACGAATTATGTCATTTTCGTTCCTTGAAATTAATTAGTGCTTTTTAATTAACATAAATTAAATAAATGAGATTAAATCTTACAAATTCAGTATTAGTAACTGTGTTTGGCTTCAACTCCGAAAGGAGTTAATCAAATTTAATCGATGCGATTCTTTCAACTTCACACGAGGTTTTTCGTAGAAGCAACATATCAGAATTTTGTTCTGCGAGAGCTGCAATTTTTCTCGTTGTGAAATCGTGCGACGTTTCGCAGACAAGCATGTCGAAAAATAGACAAGACGACGAATCCGCAACTGTATCGAAATTGTGGCAAAACGGTTTTCAATTACGATCATCTCGTCATGTGTGTATGCGCGTGTACAATGTACATAATATAGCGGTGATTTGCAAGCCCGCGAGTGGATATCACGGTACGATCGAGCATATCATTAGCGACCTGTGATCGATTAACATAAATCAGCACGATTATTAGCGTCTATAGAAATCTTATCGTAATCTGATGGAGCATACGAGCGCGGGTCAGCTTTGCTTGATCACCATGACCACTTCTCATTTTACTTTAATAGAACGCGACGCGCATCTGCCTCTCTATTGTCGATGACACGCCGCCGCGTCATGGAAGATTGCGATCCTCGCGCGACGACAATGAATCCTCACGCGGTCGTGGGAAGAATTGGTTTCCGATATTTCTTTACCGATGTCTCGCGATGTTCCAACAATGCATACAAATAGTGTGAAAAAGACTTCAATTGTGTCTCTCGTATCTTGCGTGGGTGTAAACCAGACGATTTTCTACGATGTAGAAACGCGCGTTTCGGCATTCATAATCGCGACGCATTCATCACCGAGCTTCAAATTAAGAGTTCAAATCTCAGAGTTTCAAATTAAATTGAGGGAACGGAGCAAAAAATAGATTTCACGCGATCGTTCGATCTTTTGAAATGAAATTGAAATTTGGTTAACCATGGAGGACGCCCACGAGATCGTCACAACGATAACGGAAAGAACATAAGCGAGAAAGATACGTCGGACTTCTCGCCTTAAGCGGAATCATCGAATCGATCTTGTTCTTTCTTAAGGAAATGGCCGTTATTGCCCACCTTGCACACAAGTTCCGCGTCCCAAGGTAGAATGGAGACGAGGTCTATCACTTCGCAGGATACACCGAGTTTTTCCTGGACTAGGTCGGCCACCTCCAGCAATATGTGCACCTGAGTGCCCCAGCCAATGAGTGTCACGGCATCACCTATGCGACAAAAAACCAAAGATGTATTCGTGTGTACATACGCGAATACATACGGTTGTAATCATGGATGAAAGCGTGCATTTCTTCTCGTCTGTATCCTGTTTCAGGACCGGTTACATCAAGCGAGATCATCAACGATATAATGGAAGGACGCGATCGCACTTGGTAAATTATATTCGCTTCTCGCGTTCGAAAATGCGAATAGTTATCTTCTATGACTTCAAATAACACCTTCTGAAGTGTTATTTTTTTGTTCGACGGCGCTCTTTACATTATTCACCGCATTTCGCGGTGAATAATGTAAAGAGTGATGCTGATATGCTCTAAACATTTCTCCGAAGAATGATTTTACACAACCGCAAATTTATTCATAGTGTATTTATTCATAGTGTATAATCATTTCCGCGTAATCTGAAGATGCAAAGAGAACTTCTAATAATACTTATTAATTATAAATACGTTGCATCAAAGACAAGAACTCGCAGATAGAAACGTTTTAATCAATGTCATTAAAATTTGATTGATAAAATACTATTAATTATCATTTTATTATTAGTATCGAAAGATCAAGAAAAAGGAAAAAAATATTATTTATGAAATTATATAAATAGTAATATAATGTATAGAATTTATTTCTTAAATACAAATATATGTTCTTGTATATAGAAATACAAAGATACATACGAGTTAGATTCCATCATAAATTAAAAATTGTACTAGCACTAGAGAACAAAATGGTGTATTAATTATAAAAGATCCTATTTTAAAATAAAAATAAGTTTAAAATATTTTCCTGATTCATTTTCCACATTCCTTTATTTTATATAATTTTTGTTTCAAAAACTTGCATTATGTATAAACTACATATTTGAAAAGAATTTTAGATTATCGATATAATATTAAAATAATATAATATCAAATAGTGTCAAATAACTCATAATTGAAACATATATGAGTCCTTGGTAATCCTGGGACTTTTCCTAATTTTTAAACAGTAACGATTTGAAATAATTTTATATTTTACAATCTTGTTTTTACAATTTTGATCTTGAAAAATTTAAAAATATGGAACTAACATAATAACAAAAACTGTAGTAGCTGATCCCAAAGAATTCATGTTTCTTTAGCGTTAAAAAATATTCTTGATATGGATTAAATAGACATTTCAAAACTCACCGCTTCTTACAATTTCAGCCTTGCCGATTGCAATCTTATAATGTGCAACGGGTACTTCATCGACTGCTATGCGATACAGAATTTTAGGCTCGAATATAATACAGGGATCCGGCTCGTCGATGCAGCTCAACAAGAGACCCTTTGCGTGCATCGCTCCGCGAGGGACGACGATCTAAAATAAAAAAGAAGGAAGCTCATTAAAAAACGTATATAACGATGTATTTGGGCGAGGCGAGAACACGAGAATCGAGTACCCTTGCGATCCGATAATCATCGACTCCTTAACACATGTCTCAAAACAAGCGTGAAATTGATCGGCTCTGAGTAGCATCGCCGATGATATTATGTCGCATCGCTCCTTTAATAATCGCGATGTACGATAGTGGCGGCTACGTGCATTAGTGTGCGAGTAAAAACTTTCTTCATGCATACGTAAATCGTATACGCTGTACAATATTCATGGAATTTGTTGAGGAAAGTTGTAAACTCACAGTTCTACGGCTGGCGCGAGACATAGCGAGGGTTATACTCGAAGAATGTTCCTGATGATGGAAATTTAATAGCAAAAACTCGTCTCGTTACCAAATCACACGATCAAGAAAATGAATCAATTTTTGAGAAAATAAAATCCAACGTCTCAATCGTCATGTAGCAGTTCATCGAGGCAAATCATAAAAGTTATATGAGGAAAGTTATCAAGAAAATGTTATGACTTTGTTATTAAAAATGACAAATAAAATCATCATGATATTCTTCAAATATGATTTCTGTGTTCTACTTAAGTAGTAGTACAGATCTTGTTCAACATTATGGCAATGATCAACTTGTCAGGCATTTTGTACAAACAGTGAGGCGTGGCCTTTTATGATCTTATTATGAAATCGTCTATCTCGATAAGGAACTTGTCTCGACTATTAACAGAGAAATATCTTAGTCTTAAGACACAGTTGAGGAAACAAGCGGTTCTCGTGTTACGCCCAAAAATAAACAACCGCCATGAATAAACAAAAAACGCATTTCTACTAGCCTTCAAACCGGGACTGTGTGCAAAGTAGGCTTCCGGGCTTTGAGAGTGATAAAGACCACCATGGCCGACGGCTCCACAAGGTGCACGAATCGTAAGCTTGCCGCAGTCAAATAGATTGCCGCTTCGATACCTCATTTTTGCCGCTTCGTTTACCAACTGTAGAAGAAACGTACGCACAGTTAACAGTCGAAGATCCTTATACTCTGTTTAATAATTTGCATTACGAACGGAATACACATTCTGCATTATTTTATACAATCCATTCGCGAAATAGTTGAAAAAACTTTTCAAACTATAAAAAAAAAGTTTTCGCGCTCTCTGCATTTTTTAAGCGAAGATTTCTTTGTTATACTTTTATTTGCACCTTCTTATTATTTAAATTTTCTTAAAACTTTAGATTTCTTTTACCCTAGACGTGTTACAAAATAATAATTATCTGTTATATTAATACTATATGTGCTGTGAATAATGCGACACCTGATCAAAAGCGGGAAATATGTAATCGGCAAATTGTATCTCGGCAATCGCTGATATTCCCGCGTTGGCTAAACCAATTCCGAAACCGGCGATTCCTTGTTCGCAGAGAGGTGTGTTGAAGACACGATTGGCACCGAAACGATTCTTCAAGTCCATTGTGCAGCGAAAGACACCTCCAAATGCCACATCCTCGCCAAACACAACTGAAATTTTAAAAGTAACTATAAACAACTAAGTAATGTTTTCCATTTTTTCCAAAAAATGTAATTATTCTTATTTTAAAGATTTTAACAAAAAGAAAGAGATTCAGCTTTTCTTAGAAAAATTAAATTCTATTAATTTTTATAGACGATTAAATAATTTTCTCTACAACAGTTTAATATTTTTTAATTTTTCGAAATTGAAAAATTGAGAATGAATATTATTAAATACATATTTAGATAGAGAAAATATTTTAATGTATTATATTCGCGTACAGCTGTATTTCGAATTAAAAAAGAGTACAAATACAACAAAATCCTTACCTGAACGTGGATTGTTTTCCAATGTAATATTAAGCCCATGATTTATAGCTTGATACATATTCAGTTTTTGAGTCTCACCTAAAAGCACAACTTTCATGTAATCACATGAATAATGTATAATCAGGGTTGTGTGAAAGATTTTCAGGGCCTTGCCCATATAGCACACTTTATCCTAAAGATGTTCTTTCTTAAAACATTAGGATATTCTGAAGATGATTCTTCAGAACATTCCCTGGATATCTGTGCATGGGTGGTGTAAGGGTAAGGACGGATGCTTTTATCTGTTCATGAATTTAATGTATGTATAGTCAGCAACAGCAAAAGATTGTAACACATTTTTTTCAATGAGTTTCGGAACACTTATCGAGGGATTGGTTATTATTTATGGATCCATAAGTAAGAACCAATCGTTCAATGAATAGATTGCATTTTGAAACCCATTTAAAAAAAATGTTGTAACCTTTTAGTTGCTGACTGTATACATACATCCTTCATAAATGAATGGTTATTTTCTCAGAACGAATATATATACATGTATTGTTCGTAGTTTTAATGAATTAAAAAATAACAAAACAATGAAATAAAGAAAAAAGAATTATTTATCAAATTTATCATAGCTGTCTATTTCCTCATAATTCACTGTACAAGAATTTGAATAATGTATCCAAATAATAATAATTGCTTAACAAGTTTTAAAGCAACTATTGTCAGATTGCACATATTATCATATCATAAGGAAATTATATATATATATATATGTATAGATATGAAAATTGTTTAAATTATTAACATGATTACATATGTACATACATTTATTGTATAACAATGAAGATTAAATTTAAATTGTTTATGAATTATAAATATAAATTGGATAAAAATTAATTTGGATAGAAGTAATAAAAATGATATCTTATTGTTAACCAAAATTTCGGGGTCATTAGGAGCCTTGATGCGGCGGTATGTCTTCTAATCTTTTATATGATCCTATGCATAATTAATAATTTCGGGAATAATAAATTTGGGGATAAATCTTCTAAAATAATTGAACTAAAAAACAATTTCTTGAGGATTTTGTAGGAAGTTTGAAAATCTTTATAAGAACCACTAAATATCATATAACAAGAACTTGAATCATTTTTGTTATGATCTGTTATGTCTTGAATACATATGATATTATTTTATTTAAACAGAATAAAATAATAATGTAATGACTCTTATTATAACAAATATGTAAAAAAAAAACATTAATTTGGTAATTTATCGTCACATTATATCCATTCGTTTTTTAATTTAATTTTGACGTAATATATCCTTGCGATGCATGAATTAAAAAAAGACGATCATCTTCAATAGAGATGAATATTTTAGATCGAATATTTGAATTTTCGTAGAATGTGCCCAAGATTTAAATTTATTTTGTTTTTTATTTTGAAATATATAAATGATCATTTTATTTAAGAGAGAACGAGAAAGAGAAGGGAAAAAAGGAGCAAGAGAAGATAAGAGAGAGTAAGAGAGAATCTATTAAATTGAATATGCGTTTTTTAGTTCTCTCTCTCTCTCTCTCTCTCTCTCTCTCTCTCTCTCTCTCTCTCCCTCTCTCTGTTAACATCCTACACAGCATGGGGAGTTCCCCGCGCCGAGAGCTCATAAAATTTTTGTAGTTTCATTTAAGCTTCAAAAAGTCCTCAGGAACTCGCTTTTAAGAGAGCTTTCCCTGAGAACTTCATTTTGTAGAGAGATTTTTTAAACTTCTCGAGAGCTCAGCAAAATGAACTCTCTTCCAGTTGACATAAATTGAAAGTAATATAACGTTAGGGTTAAAATTTCGTATTCTACAGTATAAATGTAATGAAACACATGGTGTTATATAACAGTTATATTGTGGAATGCGAAATGATAACATTGACGAGATACTATTAAAGATCTAGGCAAATTTTTATAACTTCAATGAGGCTCCGAGGGAATAATTGAAGAGCGATGATATTATCGACAATTAATAAAAATTTACAATTATTAACATAAATATTTCGATAATTTATTATTCATGATTTTTTATTATATAAAAAAATGCTGCATAAATAAGTATGCTTTTAATGCTATAATATCTTATATATTGTCGAAAAATTACAATTTTTTCTTTGCACCACCATCTCTATTGGTAATCAAACTCGGATGGTAACATTAAAATCAGTTTAAAAAAAATTGAGTATTATTAAGTTTTAAACATATATATATACATGTCTACAAAACTAATAAATCATGAAATTAGTACAAAATTTGATTCAACTCTCAGCTCAGTCGACACAAATTGTAAGTAATATATAACATCAATCACCGACCACTGATAACATATTATCAGTTTTTTACTTAAAAAATTAATCACTTAAAAATTTAAATAATCACACGAACTTTCGCAAACGTCGACTGTCTTTAATATAGTATCTCATCAGTCGATGATTGATGTTATATGTTGCTTGCAATTTGTGTCGAATGAACTGAGAGTTGAGTTGAATTTTGTAAGCTCCCTGCAAGCAATATGAACTCCCTAGGAATTCGTTTTGTCAAATTTTATAAGCTCCTCGAGAGCTCAGCAAAATGAACTCACTGGGAACTTAATCGGAGCTTCGTGCTTTGTGAGATTGATATACTTGATTAGAATACGAATGGCACAGTTCATGCTCTACAGTCTATGTCTTTGCATTCTGCATATTAAACTCATTGCGCATGCGTATATACGTATAAATATGTAACTGCCTGAATTAATTGGTTGACAAGTATATACAAAGAAGATATCGATCGATATATCGAATCTTTTATCAGCTGATTTTTATATGGTACACCATACTGTTGATTTCTTACATCTTAACAGAACTTTGCACAAAAAATTTTTTGAAAAAATAATAACATGTTCAGGTGCGTGCAGTGTGGTATAATCGATTACTTACCGGCGACGATCTGTTTTTCACACGGGAAATACTTAAAATGCGTCCCTCTTGCATGGTTTTTTGGGTCGGCGGAAAACTCACTATTATTCAAAAGAAGTTTCCTTCCAGCGTGTCGCAGTCTCGTGCTCAACTTGCTGAGCATCATCATTACTTTATTTATCTCTTTTTCTCCCTCCTTTCGTTTTGGTTCGTTCGGACAACAAACCGTTCGATAGGAGGTAGCGAATGAGTATCTTATCTCTAGTTTGCACACAATGCCGATATTTCGCGGAGGTTCTCCCGATTAACCTTACGTAGAATTTCGAAACAGTTTTCAGTCGAGGTCGAAACTCAAGCGAGAGTGCGCGCGTGCGCGCGTGCGCGCGTGCTCGAACAATTGACGCGATGCCGATCGTCGTTGCGCGTCGATCATACAGGCACGAATAGAAACTGGTTATTTCTTACCGATGTATGACGACGAAGCATCGAGAACGCAAGCATGACTCGACTAAAAAGGGGATAGAATTCCGAGGAGTGGGAGCGGAACTGCGATAAGACGCTGACGTTAGTAATATGCTTATTGTTTAGTGTGCTCGGTGTGTTTGATTTTGTTTTCAATTATTAGATCTCTAGCGTTGTGAGTGATGCTTGACGTCAATCACATATTATATATACGAAGATATGAGAAAGAAGAATATTTCAAAATCACATCATCATCATTTAAACGCGTTATAAAAAACATGGTGTCTCAAAATAATTTGTTATTATCGCGCTTCGCTTTCATTTTTATCGTTGATACAATAGTGGATTTCAGTATCTGGATAATTGATAAGGAAGGTATTCATATTAATAATATTAATCAAATAAATAGAATTAAGTACATTTAATTCATTATTTTTCATTTAATCTTCGCTCAATTTATGTTTTATGCAACTCGTATGTCACGAAATTGGAATGTTTTTTTATATCTTCAGTCGATCTTATTTTATTTTATTGATTAACGGTTATAAAGAAAATTCTTAAATGTGCGTGTTTCAACAGCAGAGCTATTTTACCGACTGTAGATATAAATTATGTAAATTAAATTTTAAGGAGAACCCACTTGAATCGATGGAATGACGTGAGAGCAGACTGCAGTCTGGATACACGGATGCAATCCTCGGCGGGATCATCAACTTGAGAAGGAACGGGGGATAAGGGATGCGTGGTGCGCGCTTTGTCGGCCATTACGGATTCGTTAGGATTCGTTCTCGTAGACGCGTCGTTCAACTTCGGAGTTACGATTTTCGTAAATCTATATCTCGAACAAAGGAATCGAAGCTATTATTGAAATCGATTGAATCAAGAATCCAGAGTTCGTCAGACATGGACGTAAATAGATCCAGCAACGGTGATTACAAGTATGAGAGAGATGATGCCGATGAAAAACCCAGGTCGCTCGATGAGTCTGAGAAGGATCATCAGGCCGACAAGGCCGGCGAGTATATGAACGAGCTCTTGCAAGAAAAGATCGAATTAGACGGACAAAAATGGCCCAACGCCATCCGATTGTTGGACCAAGGTGAGTTGAAAGAAATAATTTTTAAGTAAATATATTCTCTAATAGATGATCTTGTAGAAGAGTCATTCCATCATTCATGATGAGAAACCGGAATATCCATAATTTTCACTTGCAATAAAATTAGATTAAGTATGTGATACTCGAATCAACGATATTTTAAGATTCAACAAAATTTAGTTTTGAAGATAATGTATTTGTTTGAATTTTTTGGGACATAATTTATATTGAATATATTACTTCAAAAATCTTCAGTCTCTTTGGCATTGTCTGGTTATTGAAGTATTTGTTATCTTTATTAATTAATTTTATGTCTGGTATTAAAAAGAATAAGTAATGTTGGTAGATATTATTTTGTAGTCTATTATTATCATTAATTTGGAAAAGAAAAAAATATAAAAAGGAGGAATAAATCCTTTATGAAAAGGGAATATAATTGTAATAGATTGCATATTTTTCTTATAGACATTTTGTATATATCTGTTGCATGATAAAAAATTAAATATAAATCAAAATAAAAGATTAAATAATAGAATAATGATAATAAATTTAATAAAAAACAAATAAGTAATTTATATAACCTTGATCATGAAGTATAAAGAATTCTTTAATTTATCATATTTTCTTGTAGAAGATAGTAATAGAGACAGATAGGAACTAATAAAATATTAAAATTGTTATAAGAATAAATATTTTTTAATAAAATTTTTTATTTATTTTTGTTAAATATAAAACGTTTACAATATGAAGATTTATACTTATGGTCAAAGCTGTAGTAAAAATATATTGAATTAAAATATAATAAATAAATTATGTAACTTTGTTATGAAAAAATTACATGTTTTGTAGAAATTCAAAAAACAGAAACTTTGCGAAGACCAATGAGAGAATCAAAATATGTGGATATCTATCGTGAAAAGCATGTTCGTGTATCTGTCAAAGTACTAGTACCCATCCGTGAACATCCTAAAGTAAGTACCTCTATCTACAGTAATCTAAACAGATTGAAATGAATTAGGTTTATATAATTTTCTGTCTTAGTTTAATTTTGTTGGAAAATTGCTTGGGCCGAAAGGCAATTCTATGAAACGCTTGCAAGAAGAGACAATGTGCAAAATGGCAGTGTTAGGCAGAGGATCTATGAAAGATAAACAAAAAGTTAGTAACAAAGGAAGACTTATTTTTTTTTACTCTTTATTTTCGAAAAAGAAATTGATTTATATTTTTATGATGGATCTTTTAATCTCAGGAAGAAGAACTTCGTGCTTCCATGAATTTGAAATATGCGCATCTTGCTGATGATCTGCATGTGGAGATTACAGCTATTGCCCCACCGGCGGAAGCTTACGCTCGCATTGCTTTCGCGCTCGCCGAAGTGCGGAAATATTTAATTCCTGATAACAATGACAATATACGTCAAGAACAAATGCGTGAAATGGAAATGGGCATATCTGATGATACTGTCTCAAATGATCGCAGACCTTCGATGAGAGGACCTTCGAATCTTGATGGTAATATACCGAGGCCTGCTGCAAGACAAGGACCTAGACAGTCTAGAGGTTGGTTATTTATTGTAAAAATTGTACAATACGTAAAAATATTGAACATATAAAATTAAGGACGTTCTCCGACTGCTCAATCTAATGAGTTGTGTTCAATCTAATGAGCACATTAGTGCTCACCATTATGAAAATTTTTATGAAAATTTATTTCATTTTTATATAGTATAAGATATTTCATAAGTGTTAATGTGTTTATATAAGTTTTTTTTATACAATATAAAATGCCTTCCATCTTCGCTACTGCTACCGGTCGAAAAAATAGCAACTTACTGTGTTACTTAATGACGAATATCGGTCAAATTCAGACAAATTTCATATTATTCCTTATGATATCAAGTTTTTATATCATTGTCTCAAAAAATTGTTATAAAACTTTTTTACAGTGAATTAAAAGATCATTTTCGAATAAGCTTTAGTTAGTGATCTTCTGTGTGTGTGTGTGTGTGCGTGTGTGTGTGTGTGTGTGTGTGCGTGTGCGTGTGCGTGTGTGTGTGCGTGCGTGCGTGTGTGTGTGCGTGTGCGTGCGCGCGTGTGTGTGTGTGTTTTTAAACGCTTCAACTTTGAAGGAATATTTCGATTTTTAATCCTGTTCCGGATATTGAGTTTTAAAGTACATATGTTCAGAATATTTATTCTGTAAGTTTCAGAAAATCTAAAGAAAATGGATGATTTTTTCGAAGAATGTCCTTAAGAATCTATGTATCTCTTGTATCTATGTAACATTGATTATTTTGAGCTCGTGTTTAATAGATATGATGCAATTAATATATTTAAATTTTATAATAAGATATGCATATGCATATTGTATGTATGTATATATAAAATACACATGAATTTTATATATGTGTACATACAATACATATATAATTATAATTAGATATATAAATTATACTACTTTTTATTTAGCTATGTTTCCTCCACCTGTGAATCGTGGGCCACATGCTCGTGGACCTGCACCATCTAAATCAAAAGTATTCTCCATTTTGGATCGTGCGAGGGCTGCTATGGATCAAGGTTACAAGTAAGTTTAAATTTTACGCATAATGTCTCAGGTAGCAAAATTGTTTCATTAAAATATAAATTAAATATTATATTGAATATTCTAATCTTTTCTAGTAGTTATGATAGTCAGACTCCTGCAACAAATCGTGCTGGATCACACGATTTTGATTATCACGGATCATCAGGTGGAAACAATCGATATGGTGATCGTTATACTTCAAATGCTGGGTATGTATTATAATGTTTATTTACAATGATAAGAATAAGAGAGAATAATGTAAAGTTTGAGAAATAAGATTCTCTAATATACACAAAAATTTTAACGTACATAATATGAATAATATATAAATATAAATTATATAATAAAGAGAACTTTTTTTACAGACAGATATGTATTTCTTTATGAAATGCATTTTACATATGATTCGTTTTTATATTACGTAATTATTTATTATGTAATAATTTAGATCTAATAGATGGAAATATTTTTTTTCAAGATACACGACTTACGAATACGATGATGAGTCTGCTCCACATTCTTCACGTGATTATTACGAATCTTCTGACTATTCAGGTAAATTATTATATTTATATATTTGCTTGATCATATTAAATTTAAAAAATTCACTTTTAAGGATATACTTGTGATTTTGATTTAACTCCTTGAGTGTCAATGATGGAAAAATCCGTCAAATTAAAACTAACTAAAAGTGCTTCATGACGGAAAAATCCGTATATTTCATAATGCCAATAAATCACTTTTGCAATGCAGCAATTGAACTGATAATACATACTTTAATGTTTTTGAGCCCGTTGAATATTAATTTGAAATAAAAATTCCAAAATTCAAAATGGCTGACCCAAAATGGCAGATCGCAGGTTCGAAAATTTTGATAATTTTCGACTTCTATGAATTTTTTTATTTGACGAATTCCATAAAAATTTGTAAAGGATTTGTTAAGGATTTTTGAGGCTGATTATAAATTTGATATCAGATTTTAAAAATTGAAGATTGCGAATTCAATATGGCGGATAATAATTTAAAAAATTTTTCCAAGTTTCATAAAAAATTTCAAAATTTAACGTTAAGTTTACAATCAGCGACCTTAAAAACTGATTCCAAAGTTTTTTAAGGAATTTGTCACATAAAAAAATTCGTGTATAGATAGCGAAAAAGATTGAAATTTTCAAATATTGGGTCGATAATTTTGAATTTTAAAATTCTTATTTTAAATTCCTGATCAGCACTACAAAAAATCCCAGGAAAAGTGTCTTACTGCAAATTTTTAAGTTTATGTCATTGATAACATTCTTATATAACACATAAGCGTTTTTCTTGCCTGACACTCAAGGGATAATGAAAAAATTTTTCCCTATTAGAAATGTTACATATTTATTTTAGTATTTGTTTTAATTCTTTTATAAATTTATTACTTATTACTTGTAATTTTTTATTTATTACGTGTGAATTCTTCTAACTTTGTAAAATAATATAAATCCTTTATTATGCTTACGCAGGGTTTATTGTTACATACTAATTTTATTATATAAATTTTGCAATATAAATATACACAAATAAATATTCGAGAAATTCTTAACATTTATAATTATTTTAAGTTCTGAAATTATTACGATTATTTTAAAAATATAATTAATTATGAAGCTTATAATGTTTATGAAGTTTATAATGTGCTTAAAACAGAACTATTGAAAGATTTTATAGGAATGCATTAAAATTGTTATTTATGCATAATAATTTTGAATTATGAATTTACAAATTTAATTTTCTATATGTCATAAAAGAAATTATTTTAGATTAATAATTGTATTATAAATATTTTTGCCCGATTATTTTGTTAAATCCCTAATAATTATACAAATAAATCTTAGTCTTAACTAAATAATATCTTTATATGATTTGATAACGATTAATAATATTTGAGAAAGTTTTACTAAAATTTTTTATGAAAATTAATTTTAATATGATTTTTAACACAATCTTTTATTAAGAGGGAATGATCAAATTATCGATATTATAATCATAAAAATCTTCGAATTGATTAAACGGAATAAAAAATTCTTTTACAGGATTAAAGTAGACGCAAAATTAGAAGGTGGTGCAGTGAATTTTACTAAAATAAAAAACTTAATTTCAATTTCAATTGATAATTTGGTCACGCCAATGTTTGGTCCTAATTTTGCATTCCCTTAAATCGGATTACGCGCACATAAGAGAACTGCATTTATATATAATATATATATAAGGTATCCCGCGATACTTTTCCGATCTCACTCATGAGAAGATAGATGGGAACATCCCATAGCATTTACCGTTTACTAATGAGAGCAACGCTGAGAGAAACGCTCCGGCCACTCGAAGTGTAGCCCATCCTAGTTTATCAAGTATTGGCTGCCGGTAGCGATGGAGAAGCAAGAGGGAAAGTGCGAGACGTGTGAGCGGCACCCGGCATCGCCGCTCACACATCTCGCCATTTCAAATCATCGTACTCTCATTAGTACAATTATTATACAAAAAATTAATATCTCGATTATTATTGCAAATATCGCTCAATTGTATGGGACTTGATCTCGATTCTACTTTCCTATGAGTGGTGGGAGAAGTTTCGCGGAACATTCTATATATTTAACGTAAAAGCATATAATATATAATAATTCACATTTCCCAAATTTATGAATCCTGCAATTTCAATTGAAGCATCATGGGTGTAACTTAAATTCGCTGTAATAACGAAATTTAAACCCTGCCGTAAACTATAACAAATATGCATGACTATAATAAATAAGCATTGATGTCGCATGATGACATATAGCTATCTTTGAGAATTTGAATAACTCGCTATACTAAGGAATTACTGTCGTGTTCTGCCTAAATAATTAAAGCGCATCAATCCATGTAATTCGCAGACGAGTCGTCGAGCCGCGCTTGGAAATCTTACAAGACTACAACGACGTCAGGCGCAGCCTCGCGTTACCGCACTACCCCATATACACGACCTTCCAAGTAAACACCTACGAAAAAAATAAACCATTATAAATTTTCTTTTATTTTAATTATCCATACTCCTCTAAATGTTTTTTTTCCTGACATTATTATTTCATAGCATTGTTAATCCATTGGCGGCTAATCTTCCTTATGCACGGCGGCCTATAATACCCAATATGCAGAAACCGATAAACGAAAGAAATCGTCCTTAATTGATCGGCGAACGAAGATTAATACGGTAATGATACGCAAATATTGCTCCATTAAATTCGTAACAGATAACATTAACAGAAATTGTCTATTCTAAGGAAGATTTAGTCTCGTTTAATTTCTTTTCTTATAACAAGCTAATAGATCTTTAACAAAATAAAAGACTAAATTATTTCTCGCTCTATTCGTATCATTTTCTGTTATAAACGCTATATTTGAATTTTCTTTTATCTTTTTTTTTATAATTTATTCAATAATTTTCAGATTATTTTTCGCGGCCACTGGATAAACAAGAATGTATAAACTTAACCTATAATTAAACCTATAATTAAAATATACCCAATATGGAATTTACACATCAGCCAAAATTAAATATTTTCAATTAAGAACGCGATATAAATAATTCTTTTGAAAATTCTATCTTCATAGTATAATTTAATTCAATGTACCTAATTTTTTACAAAACATTAATTTCATTCCTTCAGTCCTTTTCCTAAAATTTTCAACTGCAGATGGATTTAATTATTGACATGAAGTAAAGGACCAAGAAGATTTATGGGATAATTTAAAATAAAATATTCAAAGTAAAAAACTTTGAATAAGTGATTAATACTGCATAAAGTGAAAGATGAATTTTGAATTTTATAATCATCATACTTAATATTACATATATAAGTTAGTTTGAATTAGAGGCTTAACGATAAATCTAATTATTTTTTTTTGTACTTAATGTCTTTTATAATTCGAAAATAAGTTAAACGAGACATTAAAATCTAATGTTTAATCTTGACGTGACTTCCCATCAAATTATGTATAAATATTAATTCTAATTGTTCGAATAAGATTGATGTTTGGATGTATTAAGATATTTTAAATATGAAAATATTGTATTGTAAATAAAACAAATTTAAAACAATTTGAATTATATACAATGCAAATTTAATGTTAAAATCATAAACTGATATACAGATAAATTGGTTTTTATTATAATATGACGTTACTCTTGCACAGCCTCTATTCATTAAATTTATAAAATGCATAATACGTAGACTTACAAAAAAATATTAATCTGTATCATCTAATATGTAGAACAATGCAAAATTATGCTAAACTATATGTTATATATAAATCCATTAATTTCCAATATATGAATATTTAAAAATATGTAGACTGTAATTCATAAACCTATCATTAAAATAATATGTAACATGTAATCTTCAAAAATTGAAATAAATATGAAATAATAATATCAAATTATTTGTTTTGAGAGATACCAAAATAAATTTCCCAACCAATGATGAAGCTAAGAGTCTAATAATTCTTAATAAAAATATTTGTGCGTGTATATAATATAATTTTACTCCCATATTTACAATGAATATTGTAAATTCTTAAAATCATATTTTTTTTATAAATAATTATCAAGATATTTTTATAAATATTCGTTTTAAATGCTTTTAATATAATAATGTATCATTGAAAAAAATTTATAAAAGATGCAAAATATAATTTTGATTAAATGTATAAATTAAATTAATAAAATATGTACACGAAATATATTTTTTACCAAATAACTAAATTTTTACGAATATATATGTATAGTACGCGAAATAAAGTTAATAAATATTTGACAAAAGGGAGTTTTAAAACATTTTTATAGAAATGTCATTAAAAATCATTTCTAATTCAATTTCTATTTTATTCTAACATTATTATTCATGTATTTCACGTAGGTGGGTAAAAGATGAAGATCTTTGATCACGAAGATCGTGTGGGAATAACTTTTATCATGATGGACTTCGAAGTGCCACGAGTATACTAAGTATAACGTGTGAGTATATATTTATATTTTATTTATAATTCCTTGCTATAAATATAAAAGTCAGACATAAAAGTCTGACTTTAATATTTCTTTTCTTCTGCTTATATAAATAGATAATATCAATTTCTAATATTATTATTAGGAAAAAATAGCATAATGATTCGCATTATTTGTACGAAAATGAAATATTATATTGATACTTATACATATCCGAATTATTTTTATGAATGTATTTTTATGAATGTGTATTTATAGAAATATTAGCTAATAAAGATATGGTTTTTTTATGATCAAAGAAATGTAAGTATAATTAAAATGGCGACTATTATTTTATATCTAATACTTCGGTACATTTTTTCAGAATATCTGTATCTGTACTTAGATACAGAAAATAAAGTACCTTGCACAAACACTTGCTATGATGTGCTAGTTAACGTTTATTAAAAAAAAAAAAAAAAAAAAATTTAGAAAAGATTTAATTGTAAGAAGATATCATTATTTCACATATATTTCACATTTTTTTTGTTTATACTTTAATCTGTCACAAAATTTATTCTTTTTAATATAGCGATTATATTATATCATAAAGGTTCCACAAAACTGAAAATCAAAGAAAAATGTCAGGGAAATCGAAAATAGTCAGGAAAAATTCAGAGAATTTTGTAAAATTTTTGGAAATTTAAAATTCTCGGCTTTAAAGAAGATTTAATATGCATTATATTTACGCAGTTTTGGAATACTATTCAATTCAATAAGTAAATGCAAACTCTGTTAAGAATATTAATAATAACAATATAATTTACATTGCTATGTTAAATTGCTCTCTCCCTCTCTCAACAAAATATTTGATGATTTTTAAATCAAGACGAAAATACAAAAAAATTTCAAAAGTATTTATTAAAAGCATATTATTAAAAGCATTAGGGAAAATAATGAAATTTTATTTGGAAATCAAGGAAAAATTACGAAATTTTAGGATAAAGAATTTATGATAATTCTATGGCAGCCAAAAATTATAAAACTGATGGTAATTCTTGTGCCATCATAATAACAGATAGACATTTTATATAACAGGTAGTTATTTCATCACGAGGGATTGCTTAGAAACAATATTCTTATTTATTTATCACACACCAATATACAAAAATGAACTGTATAATCAATATCAGAATATAATATACTACGAAATTCAAATATATTTAATAAAGATATATCTGAGTATCTTACAAGATTAGAATGATGCTTCAACTTGAAACAAAAATCATCTACAACGTTCTTTGCAGTTGGCACAGAAATTCTGGTAGAAAAACGTATTTCTACAGCCGTCCTAGGGGTTATAAATAAGTATTAATTTACGGGATTCCTTAGCTTCTAACAAGTCGCATCTAAGTAGTTGTGAGTGAAAATAAGGTGCCGAGTTTTTCTTTTCCCTAACTTTTTCCTAACTAATCCCTCTGCATATGAACCGAAAGCCGTAAAAGATGCTTTGTTCGTTATATTCGTTCGCTTAAAATGCAACCGAGGGTCGCGTTGAAGCGTCCACGCATCTTGTACCTGTTGAAACGCATACTGCTGATTTTCGCCGCACTCTTTGCATAATAATTACATCTCTCTCTCATTTACTTATCGTGTTACTTATCGTGTTACTTATGCCTCATTTTATTTAGAACAATGTCACAATACCAAATTGTTTCTAACGTGCATTGATGTTTCGATACATCAGACGATGATCAGCAGAGCGATCTTTAATTTATACTCGCTAACACAAAATTTTTTCCTGTCGTGTGATCAAATTGTTAAGGTAAGAAAGCGTGATAAAGGTCATACTGCTGATCACTCACAACAGATGTCTTCTGAATTAATAACGTGCTATATTATTAATGAAGAATGCGTTATTTGCAAAATATGGCGTATAAACGTGAAATTATGTAGGAAGTACGGAATATATCGGAGCGCCAGATTTAAATATTGGAATGCGTTTTAACATTTACAAAATTGTCTTACGCTTTATAGTGCAGAGGCGACTCCACTGTAAGCTACAAGAAGTTACATATGAGAAGTCCATATGAGTGCTCGAGAAAAATTCGCTTATGCGAGAAATCTGCGTAAGGTATCCATAATCTCGTGTAAATGGTAAGAATGCGCATGTAAAGGAGTGAGTTTTCTCGAGAGTCTCGTTCTTGGTATAAAGAATGTCACATTGGATCTTGGCAATACAGTAGTATAAGTTTTTTTTTATCTAAAAACTTTGCCAGTCTAAGAGCCGCCTCTAACACCATGAGAAGACGCGAGTCTTCGTAGCATGGTTCAATTCTACGGCAACGAGCCGGTCACGCTGTACGATCACCTCGCTAATACTTCATTTCTATGAAAAAACATGGAATGTATAGTGTATTTTTTTATCGGTTTACACCTTAGTTAATGTGTACGATTATATCACAAGAAAGATTCAAATATTCTGTACATAATCCGCTACGATACGAAGCACCCCGGTGTCAAGGTTGCTTCTCCCTCCTCCTTTCTGTTCTCATCTTCTCTTTCCCGCTTTATTTTTAATCTTACATTTATATATATATATATTTATATATACGCCTAAGATTTAATTACAAAGTTAGATATGTCTCAGGTTCACCTGGTATTGTACTTCATACAATTTCTCGTGACTGGCGAGTCCGAGATGCAGCCGACGAGCATATTTGTGTCGCTCCTGAGGAGACTTCCGTTTCGTCATCCGTATGCTCGAGGAAGCGCTTGTTTTCGTGCGCTGTTACCGCGTTTCCTCTGCGTATAGTTTCCTTAGTCGCCAGTCGCTTATGTTAGCTCGATATTGATAATTGGCACGTTTTTTAAATGGCAAGTTTCGCATTGGCACGATAATGGCCCTGAAGAATAACCTTGAGTGCAGTCTCTTCGGAGGAGAATCACTAATAATAGGCGCGATCGAATGTTTTTATTTTTAATTTATTTTTAAATAATAAATTTTTTTCCTATCGATAAATAATGAATTTCTAAGGTTAAAAAATAGCATAAAAATATTGGATATAAAGAGAAATTTATAAATGATACTGATTTAATGACACTATTTTCTGATGAAACGTTTAGACACAAGGATAATCTCGTCAGAAGGACTTCAATCTTGGCGATTCTCTGGACTTAACGTCGTTCCTGACTATCACGTGAGTGTGCACCTATGAAAGGCAAACTATCCTTATTTGTGGCTAATCGCACGGCATCCCATTATGAGTAATATCAGTAGAGGTGACTAAACTGATACATCGGTTACCGAGGACTAAGTTGCACTTTGATACACGACTGCTTCTGATTACACACAAAGAATTGCTGATTCAGGTAAGTCTCATTGTTGGAAGCACGGCTTTTCTAACAAGAAAATAAATTATATCTAATTATTTCATAAATCGTAAACTAATCAAAAATGTACATTAAAAAATCGAAAAAGTAAATCTCGATTTTTGTTCTTTCATATTCTCTAATTAATGAGCATTTTTCTTTGTAATTTAAAACGATCTGCAGATTTTATCTTCCATGCGGATTGCTTACTAATAATAATAAATTGTAGATGATTGGATTACAAGTTGCAGGAAATAATTGTAATACTAATAATTTGTTGAATTAATATTAATGATTGCACTAAGTTTCTTGAATTTTCCGACTATCATATTTCACAAAATTATCTTCAGCCGGTCTCTTCACAAATCACAATTTTTTTTGCGTAAAATGTTCAATAAAAACAAAGAATAACCGAGTAAATCAAATATATTTTTATATCTGTCGCCCATTTTTATCACATCCATCACTTGTCATGTTACAGTTTCTGTATACTGGATATAATTTTCGAATTTACTTCGAATAATGAAAACAAAGAATTTTCTATTTTCATATTATTCTAGTATTTAATATTCTAATATTTAATTCTCTAATATTTAATCAAATTAAATTCATGCAATAAAAAAGATGAAGGACTAAAGTAGGAAATGATAATCTTATCGTTTATAACAAATTTTTAGTTTTTCTTCTCAGTAAAACTTCATCTGTTGTATGTTTAAAAGTGCGTGAAACAGTAACATTGTATAGTTGGATGTGATTTAAGCTACGCATTATCAAATTGCGATTATTTAAGAAGCTTGATCTGTCAGGTTTGTGATGAATCATCGGTGAAATAGAGGGCGGATTATATAAATCTTTGCAAAAAATCGTAATTACATACTTTTGAAGTTGAACGAGGTTTCGTTTTGAAACCTCGGAAGATTTTGTTTATAAAGATTATTATGTATTTTTAATGTTTTTCTCACGTATGATTATGGCTAGGTACACTGTACCTAAACTAAATAAACTTTTTTTTAGAGAAAATCTAAATATAAAAGTAAATATAAAAGCCTACAAACATCCAGCCTTAATATATTTCCATATATTATAGCGCAAATATCCAAGATATTCTCAGGTATTTATTTTCCGCGTATATTCACGTTTTTTGCTTATTAACGCAATTTTTTGTATTTTTACTATAAAAAGATTTCTTATAAGTCATTAATATATTAAAATTTCAATACATAACATTCCTAAAAGAAAAAATCGAGAATTAATTATAAAATACATCGAGAATCAATTATTAAATGCACTTTAAAGAATGTGTATATTATTTTTTTGAGAATGTTCAAAAATATTCAATGGATATTTATAAAATGTATAAATTTGATTCTTTTTATTTTATGGTGCATGTTTAAAATAAGATATTCCATTTTAACTTTCGCATCGAAATATCTTCAAGATATAAAAGATATCGAAAAATATTTTAGATAAAAGTTGTATGATCTAAAAAAGACCAAATAATGATAAAATCAATTTTTGAAAAAATTGTTCAAGGTTACAGAAAGGTCATCATCACTTTGGTACAATTTTTTATCTAATTTGATTCCTTCTTTATTCTGCATATAAAAATATTAAGATAACATTAATAAAAACTCAATAGTTTAAATATTTTATTCTACTTTGACATATTTTAACATAAAGTATCTCATAAAAATAATTATCTTTTGTTTGAAACATTTTTCTTTTACTTCTCAAGATATTTCGCTGCGAAAATTAAAATAGGACATCCTGAATATGTTTACTGTTTACACAAATTATCTTTTCCAATTTTTTTGCAAGATCATGTAATAATAATTTAGTTGCGTAGCTGAAAGTCGAAGAAAGGCCCTAAAGATTTTTGTAGGCAGAGAGATCTCTTAGACATTTTCAAGACAATGTATAAAACGAATCTATACGAAAGGCGACCAGCGACAAAGAGTTGAGCTTCTCGGAATTCGGCTTCCTGAGGCTCTATTACGAAATAAGAATTTTTCTCTCCTTTGTTTCCTATAATTCATCGACTATCCCTGATTGCACATTTTCGCACGTATCACGCAGTCTGCGTGTCGAATTGCCTACGGAAGCTTACGACCAGCCAACCTCGGCGTACGGTGGGCACGCGGCACGTCACACGCGAGTGCCATCAGCGTGTGCGACGCGAACGCGTGTGTACGCGTGATCCATTGCGAGCTTTCCGCAAGAGCGATGGACGCACGGAAACTCAATTGTACGGCCAGGAATGCCTAATAGACGTGACCACGTTCGAGGTAGGCGGGTCTTCTGTGCGTCACTTCTTCATGTCGTTCATCAGCGCGCCGTCCTTGCTTTTGTTGGAGTCGAGATTCGACTGTTGACTGCTTGTCACACCGCTGCCGTTCCCGGGATACATCTTCTCTAGATGATTCAAAGATTCGCTTAGGAACTTCTGCAATGGGAAACATAAGATATACATAGATTTCAGTAGAGTCGTATTGTTGGATGAGAAATCTTTAGCTGTAGTTTTAAATCGAGAATCTTTAGAGAAGAAATTTTAGTTTTTCTTGTTATGTAGATTCGCTGTAGCGAGAAGATAAGAGAAAACGATGATACATAAGGAAATAACTTTTCATTGTCTTATTACCTGTATAGCCGTTAAAGCGGCCACGATCGCAGGACTTCCGAATCCGTGTGATATGAGAGAAAAATGGGTGAGATGTCTCTGTATACTGGGATCGAGGATGTGTTGTGGCCGCGTATTGCAAAGCGGCGATCTGTCCTGGTTCAGAAGATCCATCAGCTCTTTGGTGATTTGTCTGGAAATAACGAAATCGTAAAAAAGTTAATTACGTGGCTCCTTGCTATGATAGTGCAAGGAAAAACTTTTCGTCAAATCTGTCAAAAATATTATTAACATTTAATTATTATAGCAATAATAATATTATACAATGCCTGCCCGGGCCACCTCAATCATTTCTGAATGATTCGAGATACAGGATTGAAATTTACAGAGATATAACGGGATTGTGGAAAGAGAAAACAAATCTATGTGAAAGAGTTACATCTCTTGTATACGTATGCACGCACGCTCATCTTGACTCATCTTTAATTGAATCGGTTTTTCAGAAACAGTTGATTTTGAAATTAGATCATGGTCAGGATAAGTGGCATTGAATAATTCGACTACTTCTCGATAGAATCTTATTGTGTCAGCATATCCAAATTCAAGCGACTACATATATACAATGTATACATGAAATTCCACGAATTATTCAATGCTACTTATTGTGACCATGATCTAATTTCAAAATTAACTGTTTCTGAAAAACCGATTCAATTAAAGATGAGTCAAGATGAGCGCGCGCGCACATAAGAGATGTAACTCTTTCTTCTGAATAACAATGTTCAAATGATCATAATTCTATGAAAAAAAATCGTAGAGATTTCGGTCAGTCCGCGTTGTTACTGTCTCGAAAAGCCTTTTTAAATGATTCTTCATTCGATATGTCATTTAAGATTTTCAAGCCCCTTTCTCCCTCTTTCCCCCGGAAAGTTAAGATAGGTTTTTGAGGTCCAATGATAGATTTTACGATCCTATTGTATCCCTGTAAATTTCAATCCTATATCTCGAATCATTCAGAAATTATTTAAGTGGTCCGGAACTTTTGTCGGATAATATATATCGTGTATAACTGTGAATTAAATTCACAATTTTTTTTATCAGTAAACTGCGTAAATCCTAAATTAAACATTTGAATGTTTTAAAAAAGCGCATTATAGTATGTACATATAGTGTAAAAATAGCGGATGTTATCTAAAGTCTTATTCAAAGAACTCTAGTACTTATGCTTACTTGGTGGCATGAAGAAGTTCTTTTCTCCTGTAGGAGTCTTGTGGTTCGCAATGTTGCCGACTGAGATATTCGGCGACTTGCTTCGCGGGGAATTCGGTTTCGCAAACGTAGCCGAAGTCCCTGGCAAGGTGAATGGCTTCTCCTGAAAAGAATAAAATATACATATTATATGTGTATGATGCTATTATGTAAACTTATTGCGTATAATAGTCGATGAAATAATCGCAAAATTTTATTTGATTGTGAAACACTGTCCATCGAATTCCAAATTGTTCAACTCGAATTTATCTTACAAAATTCATAAATAGAGAATCCCATTTGATAAAACATCCTCATATTTACAGCTTTTATCGGTAATCTATAAAATATATTTTGATGAACAACTATTTTTTAACACTTGCTTTGTAGAAATTTGTTAATCTTAATAGAAACGTAATATGAATCTCTTCCCAATTTGACTATGACTGATTTTCTAAAGCACTTAATATAATGAGTTATTAAATCTTTTCAAAATTGGAATTTTAAATTTGCAGTATAATCTTTCAGAAAAATATTCACTATTAAAAGATTGAATCCAAATATGATAAAGTGATGATTTCTTGGTCGAATAGTCGATGAGCTCTCTGTAAAGATTATTTTTTTGTAAAAGATAAAATATAAATGCTAAATAGGGGATCTATTAAAAAATTTATTAAGAAATTATAAGTAAATTCGTTGGAACAAATCTTTGGATGCTACAGTCAGAGCGAAATTAACTAATTACAGTTAATGAAACGCGCATTCTCTTCAAACGCGCCATCCTTCTCTTTTTCGAGCCTTCCACTTTCTACCCTTCTGCGCATTCCAACTTCTCTCTTAGTGTGATGGAAGGTAATTAGGTAGCTATACATATATGAGTATGTGTGCGCAAGTAGGATCTTTCATACAAGCTGGAAGTAGACCCGCTGAGCGCTATTATCGATAAACCAAGCAAAGCCACCCGCAGCTACACGCCACGTGTATCACCCACGAGATCGGAAACGTGGGCAAAGCCATTTGCGAGCTAACGAATTGTCTAATTTCGCAATCCTACTCACTCTTTCTTTTTTTCCTCTCCATAACTCAGAAAACAGATATATTTCTTATATGCAAAAATTATTGAATTTACTTGAAGAAACAGGCAAAATCTTGTTGCAATAGTCATAACAATTAAATCTTTTTGCCATCTCTTAAGATTCTAAGATAAAATAGAAATTATCTTTTTTCAATAAGAAATAACAAGAGTTAATATTTTTTTAGTCAAATTTATATTTACGCTGCTCGAAATTCAATTGACATGAAAACAATCTAAAGTCGATCAAAATTAATAAATTATGCTGCATTTTTAGTTCACATAAGGAACGTGCGAGATTCCAAGTTTTCGTTTAATTTGGGTTTCGGAAAGAAACGAGGATTCCGCACGCGAGAATCTTTACACGCGCGAATTCTTCGTACGAGACACCACGAACATGTAAACGACCGTATTAGCAACGGTTTTGCATATTTGCAGAAATTCTCACATATTAATAGACGTTTAATGATGTTCTAAGTACCGGTCCAATTTCGGACGCGGGAAATAATGAGATCTTAGCGAGACTATCGTATATGATTGACAGCCTTCTAATTTCGATATAATGACTGTGTACAAGATTGTTGCTGTAAGGATCTTGCACGCGCGTAGCCCTGGGCAACCACCTAGATCGCCGCAGAAATCATATTTGGAATATATATATTCTCTTTTTTTTTTTGTTTTAATGATTACACTTAAGTTGCGCGTTTGGTTGAAAATAGCATGGACTTCATAAAATTTAATCATCGTATCGGTATATGTGAAAGTACACGATGCTTATTGCCTTCAGCCGTACAAATTGTTACTATCAGTCGTTTTGCGGGCAGAGCAGCTTATGAAAATTCATTTGTAAACGATGTAAAATTAATTAGCTAAATTTAATTTATCTGGAGATCTTTATGATCACATATATAGTTACTGGGTCAAAATGAAGTATACGTAATACACACTGAACAGTTACATACATACCGTATAACAGTAAATTCTTGAGAGTAACAAAACTTCTCTAGAGAATGATAGTTCTTTGACAGACATAATGCTTACCTCGTTAAAGCTTTATGACTGTAAATAAGTCTCAAATTGTAAATAAGTTATTTATGACTGTAAATAAATCTACTCTTGCCGCACATGTCTGCTGGAATAAAAATATGTCCTATAATTCTTGTTTTATCATCATAAAAATAATGACATAAATAAATTATATGCTAAAGTCGCAGTGTTCATTTTCTACGTGCACTACATCTCCTTATATTTATAATTATTATTTATGTTTTCAAAATGCGTTTGAAACATTATCCATTTAACTCACGAAAGATATAACTACGCCTATAATTGTTTTCAACAATAATTTGAGATTTCGAATGTTGGACTGCTGTTTTATATATATATATAATTTGGACTGCATTTTGCATATACATCGTTGTTCTATTTTATGTGACATAAATTATAGTTCATGCGGTCGCAACCATCGTTATTTTAATAGACCGCCATTGATCCCGTGTTTATGTCAGACTTGTCGTAATGCTTTGTGTAGTAAAGTTTTTATTGCGGTCATGAGAGAGAGAGTGAGTGAGTGAGTGAGTGAGTGAGTGAGAGAGAGAGAGAGAGAGAGAGAGAGAGAGAGAGAGAGAGAGAGGGAGAGAGAGAGGGAGAATCAATGCGTAGAACATATGCATTAAGTGAAAAGCTAGCTAGAGATAGCTGCTAACGCAGCTATGAAAAATATGTAAGTAGTTTGAAACTGCCAACGTTTTATGTTTAACGTTACACAATGTTGCATGTATAATAGTGCCACTCGCACTGATTTTACGTAATCCTATTATACTCTCGTTCAATGTATTCAATAAGAATGGATATATATATAACGCGGAATGGTAAAAAAAAATTAACATTTTTATTTTTTATCTAAACTGCAATTGTTTGATATATGTAATCATTTAACTGTGAAGCGATCAATACACTTAGCGAATAAATAGAGTAGAGCATAGGTTATAATAATATTTACATATTTTATAATGATTTACATGTTTTTGTTAAACTAACTTATTGTACTAACTTATTGTAGATGACAAGATTCGCGTATCAAGGCGGGAAGGATGAAAACTTCTGATTGTTAGCTATTGGAAAGATGACTGTTGAAACTTTATCTTCATAATTCTTTTGAATTAGATGGACTTACCTAAACTCAAAGGCGGAAAAACGTGTGTTTTTTTTTTTTTTTTTGTAATTTGGACAGCTTGAGTTGAGATAGCTTGAGTTGATGAAGATATTGTACTTAAAATAATTAAGAACATTTCTTTTAGGAAAAGATCTCTCTTAAAGATCCTTATATTTCTTTATTCAATTCGAATTCGATAAAATAAAAAAACCAACAAAACTAGAAAGGAAACTATCAACTGGGCAAAGAAAAGACCTTTCACAAGTATCCCACGATGTGGAATATCGAATGGATATAATATTATAGTTTCGTGCAATATTTATCTACCACGTGTGTTTTCGCTGTCGCATTTTCTATGGAACTCTCGTATTAGGCGCGCAAAACCGACAGTAAGTTAACTATCAGCGATCTTATCGACATCGTTGGACGTGGTACAAATTTCCACCCCTTCGCTCCTCAACCTCTGCATGAGATGCAACAGGTCGTTTTGGGTACGCTTTAGTCTGCCATGAGCAACTCTTCCGCGCAGATTTGCATATCTCCTCCCATATCGTATCTCTCCTTCTTCTAATCTCTTTAAGTAAATTAGCATGTCTGTCGGCGTTACTTTACCGATATGTGCGCGTTGCAAAACGTTCACGATTATGATCGCAAATGCGAATATAGATCTTGCATTTTATCGCATTGTATTTTCTTCCTTTGAGAGATTTTCTTGGCGCGTTTATTTGGACAGTTTTTCCAATTAATTTCATAATTTTCGTATATTAAGAAAGTGATTTCCTATAAACTTAAAAGAAAAAAAAAATGAATATCCGATTGACGTTATGAACAAAAAGTTTAATTATAGAGCTTTATAATATACCAAGCTACTTTGATTAGTAAAAAATTAGTATACTACATATGTTATTCTAATATAGAGTGAACTTTATAAGATTAAAAGATCATTAATATTTTGGTTGTCATTGTCGTAACTATATTAACAAATGTATGTAATTTGTTTTGTATCATTCTATAATTGCTGTTTCAATCAATCATTTAATTAGTTTAGATAATTTATTTTGAATTGAAGAGTTAGTTACTCACTCACGCCTTCACACGGAAAGCACATTTTAAGAACATCAACGAATATATTACTTCAATTAAATATATTACTGAGGATGGCTAAAAAATGAGTCGAAACAGCTAATTATGTAATTATATTAATTGAACTGTGTATTATTAGTAGAATTTTTGTTTATATAGTACTGAGTCTTAATTGCTCTCATTTTATTCTATTATTTAAATCTCAAGAGTTCTGACTTATTTTTTGTTTATATAATAAAAAAAAATAATTGTTTTGTTGTTGAAATAATACATTTATAATTATATGCAAATGCGAATTATTGCGTTTCATGTTTTATCAATTGTACTGTATTTCTTTGAGACATTCTTTTTACGCATTTACTCAGAGAGCTGTCTATCAATTTAACGCGAAATATTAATGATTTTTTAATCAATTTTTATAAAATTTGTCCTATATTAAGAAAGTAATCTTTGATTTGAAAGAAAGTATCTGATAGCATGAGATATCAGGCACCTACAAATAAAGTTTAATCGTAATATACTTGGAATAATCAAAACATATTGCTTTAGTAAAAAATAAACTTTACAAAAATCTCCTGGTTAAAAAGATTTATTAACATTTTGCTGATCGACATAACATAAATTAATCAATCACATCGTTTTTATTATCGAAATAAAATATTACAGTGTATAGTGTTTTAATATTATCATAATCCTACTCGATTCGACGTGACGCGAAGGAATGTCCGGCTTATCGAGTACGAGAGAATATGACTCAATAAAACGAAGGGACTCGTAAACCGCACGCCACAGATTACCGCTAAGGGAGCTTGCT